AATGGAAAAATCTTTAATTTGCTGTAAGTATCTGTAACTATTTTTAACAAGACTGTGGTGTATTTGGGATGTCATAAATGTTATAAACATAATGAATGTAATGCAGATACTCAACTCAGGTCTTCAACAATGAGGAAAAGAAATTAATCCCTTAAGGTGAAGTTGTAATTGAGTCTAAAAGTTTGTTAAGGATTTCAGAACAAACTCTGAATAGCTACATAATATAAAATAATATTTAAAATAGAAAAGCACAGATTTTTTTCCTAACTTATTTGTGCATATGGTATGGATACGGCAGAGTTGAGTTTGTAGGGCTTGTGTGAAGGATTTAATTATGTGTAATGAACTGCTAACATAGCTTATATGATGTTACAGGTTTCTGAGACACTAATAATTATGCTTCATTGTATCACATTCCTTAATGATCGTGCACTTTTGGCAAGGCTTGTGAGTCCTTTTGTGCAAATAAAACATTGACAACACTTGCGGAGAATAACAATGAGTGATTAAATGGGTCTGAAGACACTTGGCTGTAGCATCAACTTAAGCCCTCCTTGCAAGGAGAGCCTCACTGAATGAGGTGTTTTGGCAGAGAGATGTTAGCTGTGAAGAACTGCTACAGAATCCCAGCCTGGCAGCCCACCAAAAGAGTACCTTTTCGGGGGCAGCTTTCCTCTGAGTGTGAAGTCCATTTGTGTGCTACATGGACATTAATCTTTGGCCAGTGATAGTAGTAGGTCAGAGAAGGAAAAAAATAGAAGCAGTGAAATGGGGGCAGCCACCAGCAGTGCTGGGACCAGAAGAGAGAAGCAGGTGATGCCTGTTCTGGTGGCCTGCCAGAAAGAAGCTGGGCCACGGATCCCGCACTGACTTCAGAGAAGAAACAGCACTGGGGGAAGAACTTGCTGGAAAAAATCAGAACTGAAGCATCTGAGTAAGAGGCAAACTGCTGTCTTTCCTGTAATTTTGTGGAATGCATGACAAAATAAAGGACACTTCTGTTTGCTTTTTGACCTGTTTCTCACCAGTCGTGGATATGATCTGTGCTGTTGGATGCACTGTTTCAGGAGAGGGCAGAAGATCCTGTATTTCACAGTTCCCTGTTTTTCCTGTTCTGTAGTCAACAGACAATTCAGCATGGATGCCACACAGGGGAGAAAGCGTAAACACGCTGTGGATGAATTTTGGTGTATCATGCTGCTGCAGATATGTGAAAAAGGGGCAATGTATGCCACCAGCACTCATGAAGCATGTGTGTTTATGCATGAACTATTCTGAGAAGGTGGTAATAAACAGTTCCTGATTAACTCCCTTGTGTGAATTTGCATTATCTTCAAACTTTAAAATACCTCAGTATTACAGTGTCTGTAGGTCATGCTGTTACATCTCAAAGAAGCCTGGGGAAGGCGAAGATTATCTGTGATGTTTTATATGGCTGCATCCTACTTAAACATCATACTTACTTTGGTCTAGATTATCATTGAGACTCGGTAGTGGGTCACGGTAACTGAGGATGCTGTAGAAGGTACAGGGCCTTTGGAGTTCCTTGCTGGTGTTAGTATCGACATCTTTCCAACAGAACAAACTGTAAACAACTGATAGTTTTAGGCTTGCCACTGAACCAGATTAGTGCAGAAGAGGTAGCAGAAACTGTAGCAAATTTCAGCATTCATCATAAACAGGCCAATTTGGGCAGATTACTTCTTACATGAGAATACACCTCTATTCTTTCACTCCTCTGTTAATTTTCTTATCAGTCGTAGGAGAACAGAATGCTCTAGGAAGGGAAGGTTTGCTACTAGCAGCTTGGAAAAACACTTTCTTCTCATGTATTTCCAGCAAGTTTGTTTCTAGTCATGTCTTGGCAGCCTGAAATAATGTTAAAATCTCAACTTGCACCTTCTGCTCAAGCTCACAAGAGCCAGCATTCCATTTACAAACAAAATGTCTGTAAGAGTCTTTTCACTGTTCTTCAGAGGGGAACAGGTGACAGAGACTTCAAGAAAGATAAAAGAGGATGCATCATCCAAGGAGATGAAAGCTGCAGAATGTCATCAAGACAAACATTTCTGGGTTTTCCCCAAACACAGAACTGACCTGCTATTTTCATTGCTTTTCAGGGCCATTTATCTCAGCAGACACAAGGACCCATCAAAGAAGTAAACACAGATGCTTGATGGATGAGAACTTGCAGGTGCAGCAGGAACCTGCTGCCTGAGGACTGAATGAATCAGCAGCAGAGCAGACTGCTGCAAAGAGAAGGGACTAATGAACAGGAAGCAAAGGATGTGGATGTCCATGATATGGAGGAAATCCAAGCTACTTCTGTACCTATTCTTACTGCTATTGTAGCTGCAGCCACTGGACAGTTCAAGGCGCAGATCATGCATGTGTTGGCTGATACAGTTCCTGACTGGAAAAGCATGTAGAGTCTAAGGAATTCTGCTTATATGACATGATACATTAATAGTATTAGAAAAACTATTTTATGCAGTACCATCTTCCCTACCACCATCCTGCTGCTCCGCCCTTTTCTGCCAAGTGCTGTAATGTTGACCTACGATTTTAGGACCTAGGATTTTAAAGAGTAGGCTAGGCTAGTATTAACAGTAGCTATGGACATCCCATATTCATGAATTTTCTGCCACTTTGGGCCAAGGATTGCGTCATAGGAAGACAGTTCCTTTCCAGTTTGCAAAATCATGATTATTTCAGTAGAGTTATATAGTAGCTGTATGATGCCATTATTTTCATCCCCAGGACAGTTTTGGACGCCTGATAACTCTTTCATTATTATTATATGAGTGAGATTAATACTCACCACCTGACTGAACCACAGTGGTAATTCCTTTGCTAATGTTTATTGCTGTACCACTGACCATTTCAGCCTGCTGTTCTTAGTGATAAGTGACTGAAGCACAACAGCTCTAACTCTTTGATGAGGGATTATCCTTAAGCTGGTACTTTATTAGGATTTGGTTGCATTCTAGTTTCCAGGAACTAAAACCTTGAATTTCCCTTTCCTGCATTGAACCTTGCCCTATCTCACCTCCCATACCTACTGTTTGATTTAAAAAATATGAAAATGTAGTGTATTTAATTCATGGGAATATTTAAACTACTTCCTAGACAACAATGTTTTTCTATGTTTGACTGCCTGTGGTAACTGAAAGTCAACCTTGGGTGAGGTGGAAGAGAAGAAGGTCTTAACCATCACAGGACTAGTGTGCATGGTACAGTGTCTAAGGCAGACAGGCACTAGTAATTGGGACCTGGGACATGGATATTAGAAATGCTGGACCTTTGAAGTACAAGGATGTTTTGACTATTTGCAGGATTTTGTACCATTCTTATCATGAAGACCAGTCATAAAAAACAGCTGGAGTTGTACCCTTGCTGTGACTGCTGGAGTTACATAGGCATCATGTATATTAAAGTTACTGTTAGTGGCTATTAATACCTTGTATAGCTAGATCTATACTGTCAATTCTTATTAGTCATCAGTTGTTAGCAGCTTTAAGGATTAGAGGAGCTCATGCTGGTGCTAAATAGGTTATATATTTATGTGGACTGATAAACAGAGATTCATAAGTCAAGTTTGTTATTTCTGTGGACTCAACTTGCTCTGTGTGAGCTACAAGGTCAGCCCAGAACAGCAGTTCCAAGACATGTGATGTGTCTTTCCTGTGCAAATATCCAAACCATCAATCTTGAAATGCCCTGCTTGCCACTGGAGAAGAGCCATCATAGCTGCCTGTTTTAAGACAAGCATGCCCCTGCTTTCTGTTGTAGTGGAAGAACTGGAAGCAGACATCTGAACCTATGGCATGGGCAGGAGCTGGTGGCCTCCACGCTGACCATGATACCATAAGAAGCATATGCCACCTCTGAGGGGCACAGCACTGGTGCTCGTGAGGCTGGCCAAGAAAGAGGCCAGCATTAGTTGTAGTGTCAATTGCAGTTTAACAAATCACCTATTATTTACCCACAGTGGTGATTTACTGAAGTCTGTTACGTCACACGAGGTAATTCAGACCAGGTCATTCAGTGTGTGCCCTTCTGCCCCCACCAGTCTCCTCTGGTTATACAGAATAGTCATCCTTTGGCCCTGTGGAAGAAGAGACCAAAAGAGCTTCATCTTGAATTATCTAATGCTGTTGTGTTTGGGAAGTCTTCTTAATGTATCACACCTAGTTTTGGCTTCTCTCTCCAAATCAGCTAGCATGAGTGAAGCTGCAGACATCTTCTGATTTCTTAGGCACTTTCTTTAGCTGTTGAACCTGACCCAGAAGCATTTGAGGCATTTGCAGCTTTCTTCTTGTGGAAGACCCTTACAGGCGTGTTGTGAAAAAGCCCACCAAATCAGGCACCACAAGTTGGGGTAGGAGGAAGAACCACCAAATGTGGAAATCCTGATGTCAACCCGGGACTCAAATCAACTGAAAAGCATCAAGACTCAGCAGGTTTTGTGCATGGCCATCTACAGAAACTTAACATGCTAATAAGGTTAGGTACTGAGTGGAGTTTTTTAGCATCTCATTGGCATCTGAAAGCAAGACTTCAGTCACTTTGGATGGACTCATCTCACTCGTCTTTAGACATATGTCCGCAGTGTAGATACATCTGACTTTCACTGCAGCCTTACTTTCTATTCACTGCAAAGAAACAGGCACGTTCAGGGCATGATTCATCTGACCTACTTTACACGTTTATGTGAAACTCTTCCTATTATGCCACTTCAGTGTTTAAATCCTTGTGATTCCAAAAATGTACTGTATATTGATGTCTTTAAAATTATTTGTGAATAATCTTGCTGTTACAGTAGCCAGTAGGGTTCAGTTAGTAGGCTGTCAATAACATATTCTTTCTGCAGAGCAAAAATTTTCTTTTTGTTGAATTAATTTGTTTGAATTTTTATTTTCTACAGAAATTATTCAGAGGCTGCTTTTGTTTGTTGGAAATTCTGACATGACCATGAACACTGTCTTCTTTTGCTTCAGATAAACTTCGAAGAAGCATGCCTAACCTTGCTCGGATGCCAAGTACCCCCACTGTTAGCAGCAGTGCTGGCTTTGCTAGTTCTCCAGTCACTGTGAGGAACAGTCAGAGCTTTGACTCCAATTTGCATGGAGCGAGTAATGGAATTTCAAGGTTGCAATCATGTAGTAAGTACCTTTGTTCTTTAGCTGCACGCAAGGAATTGACAGAGTGGTAAAATATGTGTCCCAATCACTGATCCTCTGCTTTATGAAAAGTTAAAATTAGATTGTGTTCCTTTTGCACCAGATTTTAATATAGCTCAGGATTTTCAAAGTTTCTGTTTTGCAAAGCTAATTCTGCCAGTCTTGCTATGCAGTATTGGGAGTTTCATCACCTCCTTTTTTATTCTTTTCCCATTCCTTTTGTGCCAACTATAAAACTAAAATTATAATACCAGTAAGTAGTAGTAGTAGTGCAGAAGCACTGTAATGCAATTAATTCCTATAAACTTATATTTTTAGTTTTGATACTAGACTTGAAAATGGCTTTTCTTGGTAATTTGTACAATGCTGGGTTTACAGTACACTGTGCAAATACCGTCTTAGAATACATGACCTCTCTCCTGCTGAAGTTAAGCCACTTCTGAGCAAGTGTGATAAACAGAGGATTATGTCCTCAAGTGTAATATACTTTTTGAGTGGGGGAATTAAAATTACTCTGTAATATGTTCAGTTTAGGTGACTTCTTGATGGGGGAAATAAAGAGAGTATTGATCTAGTGGATGTTAAAATTATTAATGTAGAATGTGTCTTTAAATAATTTGCTGAGAGTTGATAAAGGATTGATTGGCCTGTATGTGCTGTGTTAGTTTTATATGCTTCAGGCTTTTGACACTTTACGTTTGATATGTGGCCTCTGAAACAGATGCATGTCTGGTTGTACACCAGAGGGCAGGATTGTGTAGAAAATCTGTGTATAAAGCTTCTGGAGCCCGTAGCATTGATTTAAAATGGTAGTTTACATAACATTTGCCTTGGAATATGCTGTTATATTCAAGATCTTTTTATAGCCTTTTGGTTGTTTTTATACATAAAGCTGAGACTTCTGTGATGTTTTATAATGCTTTATGCAATGTTCCTTAAACAAGATATGGTTATGGTTGTCCAACTTACAAAAATCTAAATGGTCTAACTAATTAATTTATATATTCAACAATTTCTCCTACTTAAACCTCTATTTGTAAAGGTGGAATTAGTGTCCTTGTAATGGCTAATAAAACTTTTCTGAGGGGAAAAAGAAGGGTGGGGTGAGAATTTTGTTCAGGACGGGGATGGAACAGGGTATTTTAGTTCACTGCAGTGTTACTAGACACAGTATTGAATACAAGGGAATTTTCAGCAGTTTCTAATTAGTAAGTAAATTGATAATGATGTGATAGATAATGGTACATATAATGATTTATCCTTATTCATACCTCTCCAGAAATTAGTAATACTACCTAGCATCATCTGTTGCATATTGACCTTGCTGCTTCCTTTTCTACCACTCTTTACAGTTCCATCACCAGGACAGCTTCAACACAGAGTTCACAGTGTGGGACATTTTCCAGTGTCTGCCAGACAGCCTCTCAAAGCTACTGCATACGTAAGCCCAACCGTACAAGGTAGTAGCAGTAGTAGCAGCAGCATTCCAGTGTCCAATAACTTGCAGTTATATTCTAACACTGGAATCCCAATGCCAAACAAGACTGCCAGTCAAGGGATTGCAGGGCGCAGTGCTCTTCCAAGACCATCACTGGCCATCAATGGGAGTGGCATCCCCAGAAGTAAAATTGCACAGCCAGTTCGAAGGTAAGAGTTAAACAGGCCTCCTTCCATACGTAGATGGCTTTGGCTTAGATTGTATTTGGGTTTTTTTGTTTGTTTGGTTGGCTGGGGTTTGTTGGTTTTTGGCTTTTTGGGCTATAAACCAGAAGATTTTCTAGCTCCCAGTGCTGAGTCACTGAATGGGTGAAGATTTCTTTCCAGAAATAGTGAACAGGTTTTACTGGTAGTTCCTAGTAAACTGTGATAATTGATAGGATGTAATCACATACAGGTAAAAATGGTTTGCCACCTGTCAATAAGAAATAAAAGTAAATGCATCCCTGTTGTTGTGAATGGCAGTAGACTGCAGAAATGCAGCTTGTGACATTACGGCATTGTGAGGAAGAAACTGTCTTGGATAGTGCAGTCTTGGGTTGAACTAGCGTCTCTTCAACTCCAGCTGGGAGACAATAGGCAAATCCTGGAATATCACATACTTAGCAATGAGCTATGCTGTTAGGTGAGTGTATTTTTGCATTTTTTCCAGGAGAATGTAGTTTCAAAATGATTTTATTTTTTTAGGGTGAGTATTAAAATAAGCTTGAGTAAAGATAACAGAACATACAGCTTGAGTAAACGCTCTTAGCTATATGTTCTGTAATTAATAGGTAATGAAGTTTCTCAAAGGGAAATGCCTATCAATTTGCATCAACTCTTCCAACTACTTCTCCCCATCACATGCATCCCTCCTTGTGTGAGGGCCTGCTGTACAACCACCTGTTTTTCTGTTTGATGAACTGTCGCTGTTTATATCTCACCATTTTTATACCACTCACTAGATACTAGCTAATTCCAGAGTAACTTCAATTGCTCACATTCTCATGTTGGTTGAGTTACTTGGGAATTACACTGATGTGACTGACAACAGATTTTGACCAACTGTGGTGAAGCTTTCATAAAGAGCCATTAGGTTTCTTCTTTGATGAAGCCTGTACCGTGAGATTTCTATTATAACCTCCTTTGCTCTCTGCTGGAGCTCTCTCTGTTAGAGCTCTTTATAGTAGATGGTTTTCTTACCTTTTTTTTTTTTTTTTTTTAACTTTCCCCCACTTCATAGTGTTCTGCAGAGCTCTTAAATCTTTCATAGCAACATGTGAGAAAGATAACTTCCCGGGCCATGAAGACCAGTCCCTTGCTATTTTGTAACTTTGCATCCAACATACAGTATTAAAGAAAAACAAAGTTGAGATTTCAGTGGGAGGGTGAGACACCTCACTCTCAATGCTGGTTTTATTAGAATCTGGTTCAAATCAGTAGCAAAGCTATCTATAGTCCAGAAAGTCAGGGCTCCTGTCCTCTTACCTTCAAATGTACCTTAGCGGGATCCTGTGTTGCCACAGAGCCAGACCAGTGATCATTGATGATGGATGGTCTTTGCACTGTAGGAATGACAAGTTTATACATCTCTAAAAGCACAGACAGATTGGAGCTCTTTAAGACCCTGGATTCGTTTTATTTATGCATGTGAAAAAGAAGGGCAGTTTCAGTTCATGTGGAATTTTCTTGGAAGCAGTTCAGCCATCAGAGGCAGATTTTCTCTCTGTTGATTTTTGTCACCGTGATCATTCCAAGGAATGGTATTTCACGTTATCAGTCAAGAGTCTAGACTGAAAAATTAAACTGTTTCTGTTCATTACTTGATTAAAAGTAGAACAGGTCTTTTATTTTTTAAATACATCAGATGTTCAGGGATAAGTACACATTCAGATCTGAGGCTACCTATGGCCAGGCTGTTAGGTAGCCAAATTATTGGTATTTTAGCTATTTAAAATAGGTTGTTAGACACTTTATGTAGGACCTGCATTAGGGAACTTCAGTATTTACTGCATAGGATGAAACACAGGATAAGGGAGTGCTTTAGATAATTTGTAGAATAAATTATAACAGACAAGATAACAACTAGGTTAAATACTAGACAGTTTTCTCCTTGCTGTTTGAGATTCATGCATCCACATGCAGCATAAAAAAGTTTTAACCATACAGTCCATCTTTTCTTGGCCTTACAAGTGAGGCAGCACTTTTTTTTTTGTTCCTATTGAATGGATTCAGACAATCCGTCAGCCCTCTCCAGTGCTATGCCTTGGGCTTCTTGCAGACCCCTGCCTTTGAGTCCTCCATTTTCTATCCTTACATGAGGCAGCATGGCAAGGTGTACTGGGAGACGAGCAGGATAGCTAGGCTGCTTTACAGCAACCAACCAAGAGAATTATTGATGGTGACCAGGGTCAGCCAACAGTCCCAATCTCCAGATGGGTCTACAGTGATGAGGCAGGTTGCACCTACAGCCAGGAAGTCAGTCAGTTAGCTCAGAGTCTAGATCAACCCAGGTACCAGGCACAGGCATGGTAGCAGTGTAAGCTCAGCTCTTGAGCCAAGGTGGAAGGCTTGCTTGTTCCTGCTGCCTTGTGATGGAGCCTGTCACTGCGATCCAGCTGGTGATGGAAAAGTAGAAAGGGACTGCAGACCCTCCAAACCTGCACAAACCACAGCACATTATACTGACAAGCCTGTGTGTGTTTGAGATGGTTTTCAATGCTGGCACATGTTCCTATTCACTGCCGGGGATATACGGCGATATTCTTAGTTATTTTTAGAGTAGTTAATTATTCTTTACTTTGGCCCTCTCACAGAAAAAATGTGAGAACAAGGCTTGAGACCTGGCTTTATAAGAAACAATTTCATGAAATTGGGGTGCTTTATTTTCAGCAAATTCTGGTGAAATAAAAATAAGTTTGCAGTGAATTAGAGTTAACCTTCTTCATCAGCAGTGTGTTGGCAGTCACATAGACTCAGATGGTTGGTTTTCCTTTTCTGAATCTTACTTGAAAGATTTAAAAGATACAGCTACCACCATAGTTACCTGGAGAGTTTGGAATGTGGTCAGGAAACATTTTATAATAAGAATAAGCACTCATTGATTAGTGAGAGAGGCAGCTTGGGTGTGAGGAGGGGGCCTGGAGCATGGCGAGTTCCAACTTGGAGTGGTGGTGCTGGGAATAGCAGCTCTCAGACTTCAGCTGTGGGGTAGAAACACATTGTCATGGGTCTTGGATAAAAAGGTCTGGAGCAAGATTTGGTAGAGTTCTTCGAATGCAAAGATCTTCCTGTTAGATCTTTGCTGGTGATAGTGACAAAAATAGGGTTTTATCATCTTTAGCCCTGAAAACACAAATCTTCCCATTTAGAAGGTTCTCTTCATCATGACAGTTATTCACCAAATTCATTTTTACAGAGCTTTTAGTCTGTTAAGACCAGGAACAGTAATGGGATCTCATTGGAAGTGGCCTTAATTTCACTGTAGATCCCTATATTTACATTAGTGTGAAGCCAGAAATGAACCAGAGCGATGTCTTTAAGTAAGCCATAAAACCAGTGTCACTGGAGAAGTAAATGATGTTTCTTACCTTGATCTTTCACATGAAATATGACTTCGCCTTTTTCTGTCATTTGGTTAATACAGTTTTCTTCAACCTCCAAAACCACTTTCATCACTCAGCACGATGCGAGATGGGAACTGGAGAGATGGCTGCTACTGATGAAGGAGACCCATCAACAGTGGAAAATAACATGGATTTCATTACCCAGCTGGCTGGGTAACAATGGTTTGGGAAAGAAGGGTCATACAGTATTATTTCCCCTGGGATTTTAATATGTAACCATCCATAATGCAATGTCATTTTTTAAAAATGAACATCTTATCGAGTACTAAATATTGCACTTAATCAGTTACCTGAACAGCTGCGTTGTTGCCAGACTGACAATGACAGTGTTGGCATTTGGAACTGAAGAAAGTTCCAGAATATTTCCTTGGAAAGAACTAGGAGACAATGCTTTTGGGCAGCTTTGCCATCCTGAAATTCTAAGTTAATTTATTTAGTGTAAAGTCCTCATGTGTTTTATTTTGAATTTGGGGGGACTTATGTATGTGCTTGAATTTTTTTCTAGTGTTTCCAGTACATTTTATTTTGTTTACTTAAGTTCATTTAAACTTGCCTGAACCTTGAACAACAGAGAGATAATTTAACTTTTTCGTGCCATAAATAATATTTTTGGGGTAACGTACTTTTTTAGTACTAGGAGCATATCTTTCAAAGTGGTATCATTGGCAATACAAAGCAGTGTATTTGTGTTGCAGAAGCACAAAAAAAAGTAGCATTCACTGAAAATTGCCATCCAGCTGGGTCAGCATGGTTTTGTTGGTCTTTCACCATTTGTTCAATTGTCATAGTGTTTTGTGTTTAAAACGGCAGCAAAAGTCACATTGCACTTACAAAGTGGTCTCTAAAACTACAGTTGATTTTCAGTACTTTATTACAAAAGAATGAAATTGTAACATTTTATTAACAGTTGCTTATGGAAAATGAGTTTTAATGCAAATAAATTTTTTGATAGACCTTTTACAAAATCCAATTGCACTAATCAATGCTTTCTTATAATGGCATATGACTTAATATTTGATTACAACTGTGTATACGGCTGTTTTGGAATGTTTCAGAAATAAAGAATCTATTTCAGCAATAAATCAGCTCTTGAGTGTGCAGTGTAAACATTGTCAAAATTTAGCAACTGACATCTCCTTAGCTCCCAGAGTTTTTATTGCTTAGTATTTATAAAGGTTATGGTGGATTTTTGCAAATAGTAACTAAGTTCAGCTGAAAATTTCTGGGTCATTTTAATTGTATTATAAAGCCATAGTATGCATCGAAGACATATGTATTATTTTTTAGTCAATCTTGCTATGATCTTAAGAATTTTTTTCAGTTCAGTGTTCAGATTCTGCAAGTGCAAGTATGACTTACTTACAGTGGGAAACAGATCATGTACCAAGTGGGTTTTTCACTGTGACTCTGAATTCCTCTCAGTTTTGCTCTGAATTTGCTCAAGGACCTGCTTTTCTTAAATGAGCAAGCTAAAAGGAAAAAAGAGAAGCATTTAGTGGTGAGTAAAACCTTCATTACACTGAGAAGTGATTGTATAGTAGTGCAGTAGTATCCCTGCACAACATGATATTGTTTACCAGAGATGAATGATTTTTCACGTTAGTTCTTAAAATCCAGTTAAAATCCGTGTTATCAAAAAAAAAAAAAAAGGCAGAACTGTTGAAGAGGGTATCAATAAATATTCCAATGATGAAATTATCTCTACACAGGTAAGTATTCCAACAGGAGTGTCGCAAACTTAGTTCATAAGAAGCTTTCATTGGAAGAAATTACTGCTGGTTAAAGCAATGGGTCGTTTGTGGACAAACTGTTGTCTTGCTTATTTATCTTGCTTTTGGACTGATTGTGGCAGGGATGCAGAGCCAGCTTGGGAGGGTGCTTTGATATTTGCCGGTGACATGAGGGCTGTAGAACCTCCCAGATTAATAAACTGTCATGGCTTGTGGTGCTAGGGAACTAGCGCTATCTATTTCATGAAAAATGGTTAGAAACTAGTGGCAATGATTAGCTTTTGGTCGTTGCTGACTGTGCTAGCCCTGGTCAGAGCTGTCTTTTCACTCTGTTCCCTAGCACCAAGATTTTACCCATTTTCCTCCATTATCTGGGACATCACGACCCTACAGTACTCCCAATTTTACTAGGTTGCAACTGTTAAGAGGTAATACTGGATTGTACACAGGAGGGCAGCATATACTTTGAAAATGTTTTCTTTTTGGTAGTTAAAGCTCTTATATTTTCCAGGCTCTTGGTTTGAACTCAGTGTATATGTTTTCTTCCAGTGTTGTTTATATATGATGCCAACATGTAAAAGGAAGGTGCCCAACTATTTGTGATTTACACTTTTAAATTTCACAGTACAACATGTGGTGTGAGCTGGAGGGTCGAGCATTTTGGATATAATGAGCTATTTGAGTTAAGATGCCATTGTTTTTCCTGTTTTAGTTATCCTGTTCCCTTGAAATACATCATGTCAGGATTTGGTAACCTTATAACTTTGCTGTTCTAAGTGTTTTTGTCAAGTATCTGTCACACTGGATACCATCAGACTTCAGGAGGAAATGCAAGGTATGAGCAGCCTGATCTGTTGTACCCTCAAAAGAATCTTGAGAGTCACACTGGTTTCAAGCACAGGCTGTGGTACTTCTGCTGTTTGCCTTTTGGTGGCGGAGCCGGCTGTCTCCTCTGAGATTAGCATCAAGTAACCAGGTACTATTGCACAGTGTCACGTACTTCACTGAAGTGTAACTGGGAGCAAACCATGTGAAATATGCAACATAAAACCACCTCTGTCATGCTTAATTTTGTGAGAGACAGAATCTCCTCCAGGGCAATTGCAAACAGCAAGGCCACTCGGTTATTTCTAAAAGTAAAGACTCAAACTTACTTTTCACAACCAAAACTTAGTATCTAAGTGTAAGGGAACATTTGAGAGCTCTGTCTTTACTCCCTCTTTGGTGGTTCTCTATTGGTCCATGATTGCAAATGCCATTCCTGTCTCCTTGTTGCTGCACCCACAAAATCGCCTGCCTCCTTCTGTTGAAACTGTAGTTGGTCTCAGCTCTTGAGCTCATGGGAGAGTCATGACTCTCAACCTTTTTCTCTAAGGTTTCCCCCCCTCCTTTTTAGTCACTGGGGATAAAACCTCTACTTTTCCAATCAGCCCCATAAATGTCTTTGCCTTTTCTAGAGTCTGATACTCTGGGTAGGTTAAAGGCCTGCATGCATAATAAATTTCCTTAATAATTTTCCTTTCTCATCCCTCAACTAGTGCATTCGTCCATTACCTCCTCACCTGACGTCATCTTTGAACTTGTAGTGTCTTCATCAAGAGATCTATTCAAACTAAAATTATAATAAGTAAGATTATTATATCTTATGAGATTATTATGAGATAATAAATGCTTGGAGCGATGTAGAGATATTTCAGCTGCTCCAGCCAATGAGCAGGCTTTATTTGGAGCTCGTCTCATTTGCTTCTATACAAACACCTGTAGTATGGGGAACAAATGAGGAATTAAGAGATGTGTGCATGTTTACGGGGGTATGATATAATAGGTATCACAGAAACATGGTGGGATGGCTCCTATGACTGGAGTGTTGGAATGCAAGGTTACAGGCTCTTTAAGAAAGACAGGCCTGGCAGATGGGGAGGGGGAGTTGCTATTTATGTCAGTGATAGGCTGGAGAGTATGGAACTCTGTCTGGGGACAGGTGAACAGTAAACAGAGTTTGTGAGTCAGGGTTAAAGGGAGAACAGCGATGGGGGACATTACTGTGGGGATCTGTTACAGACCACCTGATCAAGAGGACTCTATGGATGAAGTGCTCTATAGACAGAGAGGAACAGCCTCATGCTTGCAGGCCCTTGTCCTCATGGGGGACTTCAGCCACCCTGACATCTGTTGGAATGACGGTACAGCCCGGCACAAGCAATCCAGGAGGTTCCTTGATTGTGTGGAAGACAACTTCCTTCTGAAAGTAACAGAGGAGCCAACAAGGAGAGCTGCCATGCTTGACCTTGTGCTCACCAACAGGGAAGGGCTGGTTGGAAATGTGACGCTCTAGGGAAGCTTTGGTTGTAGTGATCATGAGTTGGTTGAGTTCTTGATCCTCAGGACAGTGAGAAAAGCGTGCAGCAAGCTCACTGCCCTGGATTCAGAAGAGCAGACTTTGGCCACTTCAGGAACCTGCTTAGTAAGGTTCCATGGGAAATAGCCCTAGAGGGCAGGGGGGCCCAAGAGTGTTGGTTGATATTCAAGGATCACCTGCTACAAGCTCAGGAGTGTTGCATTCCAATTAGAAGGAAGTGCAGCAGGAGGGCCAGGAGACCTCCTTGGATGGATAAGGAGCTGGTGAGGGAACTTTGAGGGAAAAAAGATGCTTATAAAAGGTGGAAGCAAGGACAAGTGGCCTGGGAAGAATACAGGGATGTTGTCCGGGAAACTAGGGACCAGGTTAGGAAAGCTAAGGCCCAGTAAGAAACTTGGCTAGGGATCTGAAAGATAACAGGAAGGGATTCTGTAGATACATAGTGAATAAAATGCAGAGTAGGGACAATGCAGGCTCTTTCCAGAAGCTATCAAGAGAACTGGCTATACTGGATTTGGAGAAGGCTGAGGTTCTTTATGGCTTCTTTGCCTCAGTCTTCACTGGCAAAGGCTCTGACCGAACCACCCAAGTCTTGGAAGGCAGACGCAGGGACTGTGAGAATGAAGACCTTGGGCCCGCTGTAGGAGAGGATCTGGTTCGAGACCATCTTAAGAACCTGAACGTACAGAAGTCTATGAGACCTGATGAAATCCATCCGCAGGTCCTGAAGGAGCTGGTGAATGAAGTTGCTAAGCCGCTGGCCATCATATTTAAATTATCATGGCAGTCATGTGAAGTTCCCGACGACTGGAAAAACGGAAATATAACCCCCATTTTCAAGAAGGGGAAAATGGATGACCCAGGGAATTACCAGTCAGTCTCACCTCTGTGCCTGGCAAAATCTTGGAGCAGATTCTCCTGGAAGGCATGCTAAGGCACATGAAAGTCAACAAGGTGCTTGATGACAGCCAGCATGGCTTCACTAAGGGGAAATCCTGCCTGACCAATTTGCTGGCCTTCTACGATGGGGCTACAGAAATGATGGACAGTGGTAGAGCAGTTGATGTCATGTACCTGTACTTGTGCAAAGCGTTTGACACTGTCCCGCACAACATCCTTGTCTCTGAATTGGAGAGATGTCAATTTGATGGATGGACCACTCGGTGGATAGGGAACTGGCTGGATGGCCGCACGCAAAGAGTTGTGGTCAATGGCTCAATGTCTAGCTGGAGACCAGTAACGAGTGGTGTCCCTCAGGGATCGGTTTTGGGACCGGTCTTGTTTAACACCTTCATCGCTGACATGGACAGTGGGATTGAGTGCAACCTCAGCAAGTTTGCCGATGACACCAAGCTGTGTGGTTCAGTTGATACCCTGGAGGGAAGGAATGCCATCCAGAGGGACCTTGACACACTTGCGAGGTGGGCTGATGCCAACCTCATGAAGTTTAACCATGCCATGTGCAAGGTCCTACACCTGGGTCGGAGCAATCCCAGGCTCAGCTACAGGTTGGGCAGAGAAGAGATTCAGAGCAGCCCTGCGGAGAAGGACTTGGGGGTATTGGTTGATGAGAAAACGAACATGAGCCAGCTTCAGTGTGCGCTTGCAGTCCACAAAGCCAACCGTATCCTGGGCTGCATCAAAAGGAGTGTGACCAGGAGGTCGAAGGAGGTGATCCTGCCCCTCTACTCTGTTCACGTGAGACCTCACTTTGAGTATTGTGTGCAGTTCTGGTGTCCTCAACATAAAAAGGACATGGATCTGTTGGAATAAGTCCAAAGAAGGGCCACGAGGATGATCAGGGGACTGGAGCACCTCCTGTATGAAGGTAGGCTGAGAAGGTTGGGTCTGTTCAACCTGGAAAAGAGAAGGCTGCGTGGAGACCTCATAGCAGCCTTCCAGTATCTGAACAGGGCCTACAAGGATGCTGGAGAGGGGTTATTCACTAGGGACTGTAGTGATAGGACAAGGGGTAATGGGTTAAAACTTAAAC